AACATTTCAACATCTGAAACAAAAAGTTAATAAGAATTCATACAACAACAATGAGTTCCTTTCAAAATCATAAATTGTCACTGAAATGCACAGAACTTTAATGAAGCATATCAGTGGCAAAAGTTTTGAGCAGGACTGTTTTTTTTTCACATTTTATGCGTATCCAATAAGTCAAGCACTCTGATTCTCAGTAAAACCACAAATGCTTCAAAGAACACAGTGAATTTATTCATCGTGCAAAGTACACATCTTTTCTGCGAAAGAGAGAAAATCATGAGCGATTGATTTCGCCCTGCACTTTTAAATGCGTCATTTTACTCTTCACGCAAAATTATGTTTTATGAAGTTTAATATATTTTTGAATCTTTGGGTTTTTGTGTTTGCCGCGAAAGTAAAATATATTTTTTATATTTTACAAATATTCACTTAAACTGTACTAAGGGTAATTTTGAACAGGTCATAATACTGCAAATGGTCGAGGATATATTCAAATGTTAACATTTCATTGTAATAAATATATTATATCGTTTAGTGTTCTTAACTTGGGATTAAAATGATTACATTCGTAGGCATCAGAAATGTATCTACCTATTTCCTCATCATTGAGACATGATTTTGCCCCATCATTCCAAAATCTTCTTCATTAGTTCTTGTAGAATACATTTTTATATCAAATGATTAAAATACTGTTGTAGAATATTTTGCCAATTTCCAATTTGAATCGATATATCCACGGCACCATAAGGCTTATATTTTACCCCTATGTCTGATGGTAACAATTTTGAGTCATGCGCTTTTTTCAGAATGTGTGTATTTGGAAACCAGTAAGGAAAGCTCAAAAGTCGGGCGGGGCCGACTATATGATACCCTACACCACTATGCATATTTAGTAGAGCTCTCGTAAAAAGGTTTATACAGGGCATTTCAGAGCTCTATGAGATATTTGGTACAAAATCAAAATCTATCTAATTCTATCGTGCATTTTACGAACTATAGCTATCTCTGAACCGGGTTTCTCCAAATTTTACGTATTATCTTCTAGACTGGTGATTTGGGCTGATATTGACCATTTAGTGCACATTTAACCCGAAATCGTAGGCATCAGAAATGTATCTACCTATTTCCTCATCATTGAGACATGATTTTGCCCCATCATTCCAAAATCTTCTTCATTAGTTCTTGTAGAATACATTTTTATATCAAATGATTAAAATACTGTTGTAGAATATTTTGCCAATTTCCAATTTGAATCGATATATCCACGGCACCATAAGGCTTATATTTTACCCCTATGTCTGATGGTAACAATTTTGAGTCATGCGCTTTTTTCAGAATGTGTGTATTTGGAAACCAGTAAGGAAAGCTCAAAAGTCGGGCGGGGCCGACTATATGATACCCTACACCACTATGCATATTTAGTAGAGCTCTCGTAAAAAGGTTTATACAGGGCATTTCAGAGCGCTATGAGATATTTGGTACAAAATCAAAATCTATCTAATTCTATCGTGCATTTTACGAACTATAGCTATCTCTGAACCGGGTTTCTCCAAATTTTACGTATTATCTTCTAGACTGGTGATTTGGGCTGATATTGACCATTTAGTGCACATTTAACCCGAAATCGGATGAAGATATATATGAGAGCTATATCCAAATCTGAACCGATTTCGATAAAATTTAAAACAGCTATTCCTGTGCTCCATCTAATACCTGGTATCAAATATCACGGTTGTGGAGTGAATATTACGAATGTATGGGACTACAACACTAAATCGGATGAAACATATATATGGTTGCTATATCTATATCTGAACCGATTTTCACTAAATTTGATATACTTGCTTCTAGGCTGAATTTGGTCCGATGTACTAAAATTCAGTCCATTTGGACTTATATCGGCCATTTGGTGCACAATTAACCCGAAATCGGATGAAGATATATATGGGAGCTATATCCAAATCTGAACCGATTTCGATAAAATTACAAACAGCTATTTCTGGGCTGTATCTTATATCTGGTACCAAATATCATTCTTGTGGAGTGCATATTACGAATGTGAGAGGCTTAAACACCAAATCGGATGACAGATATATATGGGAGCTATAGCTATATCTGAACCGATTTTCTCCAAATTTGATATACTTGCTTCTAGGCCGAACTCGGTTGGGTGTGCCAAAATTCAGGTAATTTGGACTGATAGTGGACATTTGGTGCACATTTAACCCGAAATCGGATGAATATATATATGGGAGCTATAGCTGTTTCTGAACCGATTTTCTCCAAATTTGTTGTATTTGCTTTAAGGCTAATCTCGGTCACATGTGCCAAAATTCGGGCCATTTGGGCTGATATTGGCCATTTGGTGCACATTTAACCCGAAATCGGATGAAGATATATATGGGAGCTATATCTAAATTTGATCCGATTCTCACCAATTTCAATAGGGTTCGTCCTTGGGCCAAAAAAATATTGTTTGGAAAATTTCATCTCAATCGGATAATAAATGCGACCTGCATTTTGTTCACAAGAATACATGGACAGACGGACGGACGGACTGACATGCATAAATCGACTCAGAAAGTGATTCTATGAAGGTTCTCAAAAGTAACTATGGGTCTATCTCGTTTCCTTCTCCATGTTACAAACAAATGCACAAAGACATAATACCCTTACCACTATGTGGTGTAGGGTATAAAAAGTATTATCTTGTTACGAAAAATTTAGTGCAAACACAGTTTTTGTATAAAACCCTTTATAATAATACAATAAAATGAAGCCTCATACAAATGTGCAAGATAGGTCGTAGCTACCGATATTGGTATGTGTTGTTAATTTAGATAACATAAATCCTGCTCTAGAAATTCATGCTAGATATTATATGAATAGTTTAATTAAGGCTTATTTTTCTTGTAAGTATTGTGTTTGTCAATTCAGGTTGACTTTTAATACAAACATTGGCTGCTATACGTCGTGGATATTTAAGCGAAATTCTCAGATAGTATTGGTAGTTTTCGACAAAGCAGTTCTATTTGGATGAAAATAGCTACATGCAACTAAATCGCTACTTAATTATTGAGAATCGCTTCAGAATAGTCATGAATTATTAATCTGATCTTAGTGACACTTTCAATGAGTCACTTTTTTTTAAAATTTGAATATTTGAAAGAAATACAGCGAAAAAAAAACTGATTCATGTCTTGTCATTTATGATAATTAAAAAATTATTTATGACTAAATCAGACACAAAGTTCGAAGCCGAAACAACTGGTTGGTAACAAAGCGCCACATTAAAAGTCGTACCTCAGCAGCCTTGTCGGTAGAAGGTACATACTTTTTCACAATAGGGTATACCGAAATTTTTCAAACCCTCTGGAAAATAAAATAATAATTCTAGATATTCGGGTATCTATGAATACATAGGAATGCCGTCCGCAAATCAATATATTTTCAAAAGATGTGTAGACTAAATTGATTACTAAGGGCCACTGTTTTTTTGTTGGTACATAGGTACATAGGTACCAAAATATTACAAATTTTAGGTCACAAAATTTTGCGTTGAGCATTAGCAACCTCTAAAGCTCTTAATTGGGTTTGTTCGGCAGTGAATCATTTCAGCCTTGTTGTCAACCGAAACGACTGACGACATTGCTAACAGTATATATGAGTACATGGGTACATACCTACGTCGTTTATATTCACCAGTTTAGTTTTGTAAGCGATCGAATCCCTCCCCTTTCTTTTGGTCCCCTCTCAGTAAAGTAAACAAAAATTGATGATGATAATTATTATCGCACTGCCTGTTCACACACACACGCACGATTTGTGTTACATGGATTCATATGTACAAACGTAGGTACTCTCCTCGCTCATCATATCCGAAACAGCTGAGTGCTGTAAAAATAAATGCGAACTAAGGTTTACCAGCGCAAATGATGACTTGTCATGGACGAACAGCAGTGAACCCCAACACACATCAGCTATTGCACAGCACAGATAGGAACGATGGCTAGCTAGCTAGCTCCAGCTAAAGATGTTCGGTTGTCAACTATTGTTGTTCAGTAAAAAGGTTATGGGTGGGTGGTGGCAAACAAACCGTTTGTGTTAGATGGGTGGGAGGCGAGCGGTTTTCTACAGCGAAGAGTGTATGTTACTGCTTCTTTGTTTGTGGATGTGTATGTATGTACCATTACAAAAGTGCGGCAGGTCAATAACGTGTTTAATATTCGCTATATTATTTTAGGACTGGTTAGGGAGTGTTGAATACGTATCAGTCAAAAGAGAACAAGCCAATATTTCCCTCTTCCAGTTGGAATGAAAAAAGTGTTGTATACCCGCATAAAAAATAAATCGATTTTTTGTCGTGGATATGTAACACAGATAAACCAAATAGAGTAGCGAGAAGAACACGGAAAAACAAAACGGTTAAATTGAAAATATCTTTTTTTATTTCCATAAGGTGTACGCACATTACAACATTTTTATTCTTTTCCGATAGTACAATAAGTGACCCTAAGGTAATAATGCATCAGAGATCGCCTTTTTTTGTGTATTAATTAAAAATATAAGAATTATTGAATGTTTATTCAAACATTTTATGGAGATAGAACGATTTACTCCGTCTAATTTAGATATTTTTCAGTTAGGTTTTCAACCCATCAGAGATCGGCATTGGGCTGCTTGTTTTATATATAAATTTTTTCATCAGATATAATTTTACAAATATGGTATAACGAATGACAACAAAGATATTTAATAATAATTTATTTAATAATACATACACATGCCTACTTTAGATGCCGATATCAGGATGAAACATTTTCCATTTTTACTAATATTTTTCGCTCGAAGCTTGGAAATATTTTATTTTAAGACATTGCATTAAAAATCACCACGATTGCATCACCATTTTTATATGCTAAAGTTGTTTTGATCACTCTCTCGTTCTCTTTCTATCTGCTTACTCAATACCTGTTATTCTCCCAATCTCCGTATACTTGCAGCTCTCCCCATCAGTGTATTTCTTGATTCTCGCCCTCATATTGTTCACAACTCAGCACGCCACAGCCATTCGTTTTGCAAAGGCAGTAAGCAGTCACTCACATAACTTGGAGCTAAGTAAACCTGAATTTCCACTAGCTCATTACAGATCAAGAAACGCGCGCGTTCTTAGCACACAACTCAACGACGGCGACTGAGCACAAAAAAAAGGGAAAAAAACAACCAACAATACATAATTTCTTCAGAAGTCAGTGAATTTTAAAATTAATTATTCTGTAGATATAGAAATGCCTTGGCCAATATTGAAAATAAGCAATTTTACCAAAATAAAATGAAAAAGCAAGAACCAAGAATTAATTAAGAAGAAAATACGTTAACAACATCTGTGATCTCATTTCGTATAACAATACAAACAAAGCAATAGAAGGGAAGGAAGAAGTAAAGTACCAGCAGCAACTGTCGCAGAAGCGAGGAAAATGACTGATTTCTTGAAATTGGCAGAAATGCAGCGCACCAATGTCGAAATTGAACGTCAACGACATTTGACAAATTGGTTAATAAAAAGCAGTCCCCACATGGCAACACCACAAACGGCGGTATCCAGCAATTCCTCCCCAACAACAGCAATAACGGCCACAGCGCCATCCAGCGGAGCCGCAGCAGTAGCTTCAACAAGTGGTAAGTACGTTGCTAATACAATAGACCAAGATCGTTGTTCAAATGCAAACGTCGGCGAGTATGGATCGCCATTCGACAGTCAATTGAATAACGGTCACAAATAGCATTCAGATATTCTGTGAGAGAGCGTTCAACGCTCCCGCGTTGCTTCCACAAAGTGTTTGTAGAAATTTCACAACAATCGAAAATGCAATTCGCACTGCTAATTTTCTGCGGCGTTAAAGATCGACCTTCAGTTTGTAGAAATTTCACAACAATCGAAAATGCAATTCGCACTGCTAATTTTCTGCGGCGTTAAAGATCGACCTTCAGTAAACAATAGGCTCTTAAAGTACAATCTATGCAGGGGTGTACAATAAATTTCTCAGTTTAAAAAAAAAAAACAAATAACTCTGTAAACGAGTCCTGAGAGCATTTTCTTTATCGCAAATAGTTACACCATAGACATAGATAGTTAATTTGTCTCATCTGTTATCTCTGAAAAAAGTGCTTCAATAGATGTCGTTCATGCTGTGAGAGAGGTTCAGTAGACTCACTCAATTCTCTCATTATACAAAATATTGGATATTTTTATGATTCCTTCTTATTTATTAATTAAAAACGAAATAGTTAACTTTTAAATTATCCAAATATGTCCTGAAATATAAAAATATAGAACTTAAATAGCAGAAAAATGAATATATTGTTGTCGAAGTCGAGTGACTTCACTAGCTCTGAGTGACTTGCCTTGTCCAAGATCAATCATAGTGACATCTGCCGGAAGGGGTATATTTTAAAACTTTTTAGTCTATACCTTTATTTGTCTATGGTTATACGTTAGAAATGCCTTACACTTTTAAATTGTTGAAGAAGTCAAAATATTAAAGATTTTGCAAACTCTCAGTTACTCAACTGACAAATTTACTCTCTACTAGTCTTTTTGTTTATGATACATTTTTTAATAATTTGTACAAATTATTGATTTATCTGTGCACCTTTTGTCAGGGGTATTTACAAGGAATAAGAACCATATTTAATAAAAAATATTTAATTGTTTTTTTTATTGGAAAGATTGGCCACAGTTATATTTCTGTCAAGAAGTATACAAATGATATTAGTTCAAAATAATTGCAAATTCTGATTGGGACAAGGACATTTGTTCAAAGTCAATCTAATACTTAAAAATGTAATAAGTTCTTTGAAATTTTAAACAGGAAACAGGGACAAGGAGAACCATATGCTAACTCATACCTAAAAAAATGACGAACATATATCAATAATCTTTGATACAAAAATTCCCATTATATGTACATCTGATTTCACACGCTGACAAACTGATAAGAGACATCACATAAACTCTTGGAATGCCTCTGACAAATTTGGTCAAAATTGGTTCCAGAGGTCAGCTCCGCCCAATATTGATATTTTTCTTTCTGTTTGTTATTTACTTTTTATTTTATTTTCTTGTTCATTAATTAAACTAAGCTGTAAGTTCTCTTCTCCACCATGGAAAATGTTTTGTATGTTCGTATTACCCAAATTTAAATCATTTTTAATTTTTTGTAAATCGCATTGCATTGTGGTCACATGTTACCGATTACTGCGAGTAAGGGGGTATTCCTTTTATGGAAGTCTTATTACAATCAGTAAATTTTTTACTATTTTTTGTAGGGTAAGTGTACCAGTAGTCGGCACTTTTAGGATTTTCGCGTTTTTAATCGTTCACCATTCTGAGTGGAACTTTTCAATTATTACTGATTCGATGTCTTTATTGCACTTTTCTTAAGAATATGGATTGTTGAGGACCTTCACAGACAAAAATTTAATTTTTATTAAAATAAATCATATTTTCTTAGCGAAATTGTACACAAAGATAGCTGACAATATATTTGAAGTAAACATAATAGTTTCATTTATTTGGGCTTAAAAATAAAAAGTGCCGACTACTGGGACATGCCGAACTTAGGCACACTTACCAGTAGTCGGCACTTTTAGGATTTTCGCGTTTTTAATCGTTCACCATTCTGAGTGGAACTTTTCAATTATTACTGATTCGATGTCTTTATTGCACTTTTCTTAAGAATATGGATTGTTGAGGACCTTCACAGACAAAAATTTAATTTTTATTAAAATAAATCATATTTTCTTAGCGAAATTGTACACAAAGATAGCTGACAATATATTTGAAGTAAACATAATAGTTTCATTTATTTGGGCTTAAAAATAAAAAGTGCCGACTACTGGGACATGCCGAACTTAGGCACACTTACCCTATCTTTGCATTTTAGCGTCGAAAAGTACCCATACGAAACGTATGTTTTTGACACAATTTGTAACTGTTTTAAATAAAATGATACTAATCTTGGGTGTCGCTCTTTTTTATTTGGTACAATTTGTAATGTTTCAATTGAGTAATTTTTGGTACCATTTTTGAAATGAAAAGGAAGATCAATTGAAATCAAAAAATTGTCATCATAATTATAACATTTTGTATAAAAATATAGCCGTATTTTACGAAACGCAATCAGTAACCAATTTCCATTTCGTCTTAGCCGTGGCAAATTAATAAACTAGGGCCGGTTATTACATCTTTCCGATAAGTAAAAAAGTGATGCTGTCGGACACATAAATAGTTTTTCATTATTACAAGTCTCATTTAAATATAAACTGTCCGATAAGCGAAAGGTCAGACCATCTTCCCTTTATCTTTCAACGTAAAGCTTACTGAATTCATGTTGCCATATTTTATATTGATAATATGACAATAACAGGAACATTTAGTTAAAAAAAGAAATTAATCACACAAATCGCAATAGAAGATATAAGAACGGGCCTAAGTCTTATAATAAAAACTTACTTAATCTCTCATAATTTTAGCGCCAGTTCCAAGCAATCTAAATAGCTCGGGACATGTTACAACAACGACTAATTCCTTATATCCAGCACCTGCACATTTCAACTCAAAACATGGCAGTTCTGGATGTGTAAATCCAACAAACAATTCTGCGGCAAATCCTGTATTCTATTTAATGGCTAATAATTGTAATAATGGGACTGTAAGCGGAGGCAGTAGTGCCGTTGGTCTCATCAACCATCCATCGAACATGGGTAGCAACGGCAAGTACCCGAACGCTTCTAACCACCACCCACCTTCTACACATCATGGTTTGCACCATTTGGTCGAAGGAAGAAAGCCGAAACTTAGACGTTTTAACTCTCATGATACAAGTTCTAATATGTTTTCGGTAGCTGATTTCGAAAACGCTCGTTTAGCAAGACGCAATGAAATTGAACTGAAGCAACGTTTACAAAGACGATTGCGAAATGGATTTGCTGGCAGCGGAGTAAGTTTGTCTACAAGTGGCACAAGTAGCGGCCAGGGATTAAATAATGCTAACGTGGGCACTGACTATTCTACGGGTGATAGTAAGGCTTCCAAAAATAGTACCGATGTAAGTAAACTGCAGATATATTAAGCCAATACATAGTAATATTTATTCTCTTTTCTAGTCCCAAAGCGATCCCCTACCGGTCGAAGAATTCCTTGAACGTTATTCACTACCTCGAGTGGTGCGGATTTCATACAAAACACCATTTTCTAACGAAACTCTCCAGTCGTCCTCATCCAATAACTCCTCTACCATAACATCTACTTCGTCCGCTAGTTGTGAAGGGGACAAAGTCATTCAGCCAAGCAAAACCGCACACGATATGACCAATTGTAATACAGGGACTTCCTCTTCAACATCTTCAGGTGCTGGTCATAACGACCACGTGACACAGACCTTGGATAGCAACAGTAGTAGTGATACGAGTGTCATGAAAATGGCGGCAAATGAATCAAGTGCTACAATTGGTGGCAATAACAATCAACGTGCAAATGACGAGGAGCAGGGAGAACTGTTTCTGCTATATCGACTGGTTCGTCAGCGAAATATTTATCACGGGCACAACGCAAAATCAGCGACTACGAGTCGAAAGAAAGGTGTTATGATTCCCCAGGAATTTCCCGGTGAGTGTTTTTTTTGAAAATGTGTCGAAGCCATGTGTTGTAAAAAGGATTTTTTAAAATCCCAATCTCGCGTCTATCCATATATGTATATTACAACAATAATAGGCTTCAAACATTGTCAATTTCAATCGTTGTTTGCACATTTATTTCAAATAACTTATGTATAACAATCTTATTTTAATAGGTTATTTCTCCATGTTGAATGATAAAGGAGTTCCAACAGCAACTTTGTATACTTCCCTTGTGCAATTGGTAAGGGAACGCGTTTGCAAATTTGTTTCGGTCGAGAATATGGCTGCATTTATGGATTCCCAGCCGAATGGCAGCAGTGCTAACTCGCCCACCGAAGGATGCTTGCATATTTATTCATCGAATACCAATAACGCTCACAACAGGTCGCATTACGTGAAGACAACGGCTCGAGGGGGTCAAGTTTTCAAATTATTGGCTGTATATGAAGACGGAAAACAAGACACACACAATTCACTAACACCAACAATATCTTGCGGTGGCCTAGGTGCCTCGAAACAAATGTCATATCACGGTCGCGAAAAGGAGCGCAATCGCTATGCTCAATTGTTGAATGAACAAAGGCAAACGCTTTACGTCTCATTGGCTACTAAAGGAAAATTTTATGAAATCGAACCTGGAATACCTCAAATCTTACAAAAACGCCTGGACATGACCGGAGATAACACACAAAGAAAACTCAATACGGATTGCGTGCATCGGATCACGGCCCTGGTAACGCCAAATAGAGAGCTGCCCGTGACTTTGAAATACATTTCTGGGCCAAGTGGGTGTAGTAGTGCAATTCCTGACAATATTTGCATTAGCCGCATTAGTACGGAAAACATAATAATTGCATGTCCCATTGAGGATGTTGAAATGCAAAGTCCCCTGCATTTGCGCAAACTTCATTTGACAAAAGAAATGAATTTGGTGAAAAATACTCTGGGCTTCGAAAACGAGCACCGCATGTTTTCGAATCCCAATGTTCAGAATATTTTAAAATTTTGTCAATTTAACTGTGATCAATTCTTGAAAATGGTAGAAGTGGAGATTTTGCAAAGGTCTGAAAGATCCGCGTCCAAATCCCGTGTGGAGGGTTTAAAAATTTTAAAGCCGCTACACTTCCCAAAACTGCTAAGGAGGGAAAAGACAACAATTCCGGCTCATGAAAAGGAAGACTCTATAATTTTCCTAAGTAAATCCGACTTGGCAAATATGGAGAGTAAAGAGCATCCTTTTGATGATCAGGCAAACCGTATTACAGAAAAAATGAAGGTTTTCCAATCTACCAAAAAGAAATGGTTCCGGAAACAGGAAAAAAATCACGAAAAGTCCTTAACATCCAGCGATATTGATGCACACGCAAAGAAAATGAGTATGGAGAGATATTCGGACATGTCGAAACTCCTGCAAGAAAGGTTCGGTCACAAATCGAATGAGCAAGAATGCATCTCGGAGCCCAGTGGGTGCCAGTCGGATGTCGGGTGTTCTGACACCGAGACAACCACATTGACCACAATCGATGAGCGATTTAAGAAGTTCAGCTGTACGAAATCAAATGAACCAAACACTTTACAGAAATCGTTATCTCTGCAGGACATAGAACTCATTGGCAGAAAATACCGAAAGCCTGACGTCTTGACGTCACATAATACGACTGACACCATATCAGAGTCTGGGACAGATATAGAGGATATGGAAAATCGGGAACCGGCGCAAAGTTCATTTATAACTGAAAAGCTTTACCACGAATTCCACGTGAAGACCAAGCAATACAGTAAATCCTCATCAAATCTGCACCAGTTGTTAAACTTCTCTCTGCCTCAAAAGCTACAAATAGGAGAAAATAAGAAATCTTTAGCCCAGTTGAAAACCCAAGTCGCCAATAGAAGTGGCGAAAAGCGGTTAGATTTTAGTATCGGAGAACCTATCACGGGACGAAGAGCTGCAGGCGGTTTGTCGCTGCTGGTACAGAACTCCAGCAACGTTCACAACACATCACTAACTACACCACTGACCCCCATTCACCTGATGGAAGATGACTTGCCCTATTCCAGTGTAAGAGATTCCTTGATATTGTCCAGTGATGAAGGCAGTCCGCCAGATGTACCTACGGGCACCATGTGCCAAGCTTTACACTTAATAGATTACGCAAAGGAAAATATTTATGCTGAAATTTGTCATGAAGCCAGTGCTATTGGTGACATACCCTTTTCTCAAACCCGCGATACGTTTTCCGGGATAACACATTCCACACAGATCTCAGACGATTTTGGGGATTATGCCTCCCTCACATACCCACAGCCTTCTACCGCCAACGTCCTTGGAAATGCCATTAGCCGCGTGCAGATTACTTGTTCAGAGAGTCCCATAAGTTACCACACAGTCTACTTGGGCGAAGAACGCTTGGGAGAACCACGGCAGCCAGAAAAAGACAGGGACAAGCCAAGATCTCATAGTTCACATGATCGCTCCCACATAACTACGGTCGATGTTGTAAACAATGGCGGTAACAGTGTACTATCAAGGTCTCCTAACGCCCACAATGAAAGCCTGTCTGAGTCAGGTGTAATAGACAATATATACAATACGCTCAAATGATGACTAATGTGATTTAGTTGGAAATTGGGGACATCGGTTTTGAGTGTTTTAAGTGGAAACCTTTTCTGATATCCTTTTCAGTTCAGAACATTTCTAATAGCTGTGAATATATAATTTAAGGCTCAAAAGTTAATATCACATTGATCGAATCACGGGTATGATAAAATGTAATTCAATATTGTCTCTTTGAGAGCAGAATTGCATCCAAATGTCGATATTAACATCAGTCATTGTATCGTATGTTTGAATGGAATACATCATTTGCAAACAAGTATTCGTGCCTAGATTTCTCTTCCAGAGAAACATTTCTGCTGCATGTCTCCAATTTTGAAAACTCATCCCTCTGCGGGTAATATAAATTTTATTTACTAAAAACAAAAGACAAATCTGAAATTTTGAAACTGTGAAAAACGAAAGTATTTTTGTATTTTATATACCGAAATAAATAAGGAAGAATTTAATATATATGAAGAAATAGCAAGTGTGAATAGTCTTTGTGCGGCCTTGTTTTTACTGAAAACAAAAAGGAGGCCATAGATCACGATCGAAACGTATCTCCTTCACACACTCACTGTGAATTTCTTTGTATAGACATATATATTTATTATTTTTGAATTAGTTTGGATTTTTCCAATTGTAATAAAATAGTCTATGAATTTATAATTTTGTAAATTGTGTCTTTCAATGCAGACGAAATAAGTAGAAATGACAACTCAATGCTAAAATAATGTTGCAAATCTAATATAGATTATTTTAAGTAAAAATATACACACACAAATTTACATACGAAGAGGTATGAACAGATGAAAACGAAACCCAATTGTATTATAATGTAAAATGTAATTGTTACTCTTAGCCACGTACCCATATAAACTAAAGACGGAAACCAGTTAACAGTGCTAAGCAAGTCTAGCTAATGTCGAAATAAATATATAAGAAGTCATTTTAGAAACACGTCATCATTATAGTGGTATTATTAGCTTTTAGTTTTATTTTTTTAAATCATCAGCATCAGAATCCCTCAATTCCCGATGGTATTTAGCAATGATGAGAAACTCAAAAAGTATTTAACACAAGAAAAGCATCTTGTCTTTATTTTATTTCAGACTCCCTTAGAAATAACTTGTATATACAATCCACTCAAAGCATATATATATATTGTTGTATATTTTTTCTTAAATAATAAAGTATCTAAAATGTAAGATAATAGTTTGTAGATTGTAAACATTAATTAGAGCATATTTAATATTTTAATGTTAAATACATTTCTAATAGTTTATATTTAAAATCTAAACTCTGTCACAGAATTCTCATTTACTTTATGAAAACAACAACACTGTAAGATTATATTTTCTGTTTTATTTTTAATAGAAAATTTTGTTTAAATTTTAACCTTTTGATTTCGGTTGTTTTATTTTAATTGCATTCGAAAAATGTATTAAATGTTACAGCGTAACGTGTATATCCTCCAGTAGAACTAGTTTTTCTGGAACTCGTTTCATGATGGTTTCCATATTCTACACACAGAACAGACTTTATGTTAAACAAAGGACTGGCATTGCAGCAACAACAAAATGTCCAAAAGCACAAACTTTACAAAACCCATCTCTTTTGCGACGAATATACTTGAAGGTAACATAATAACAAAACATACCCAAACTAGACATGGAAATGTAACTTCTCTTTCCTTTTTTACAGCACGTACATTTCAGTGCCATCGACTATATGGAAGTTATTTGTAATGCTAACCACAATATACACATCTATGAATATTACTTTTATATATATTCAACTCATATCATTATGAAGATTTACGCCTTCATCGTTCTCACAAATATATTAATATACAGCCATAAAGGTAAATATTTCTAAAACTTAACAAATTTTAAATAAACATCAAGGCAGCTATTTAGATATAAGAATATCTGTAAATTGAGTTAGGATTAAGTAAGGCTTAGTTGAAGAAGTCTATCGAACACTAATGTTGAATAAATAATAAATATTCTTACGCTATGGACAAATTCACATGCGTACATCAAGCCCCGTTTTGTTAGTAAAATATATGCGTGCATACATTTGTATTGATAAATAGTTTTGAAATTATAAAACTAATATGTTGATGTGTTGGTATTTATATAATTAACAATATTTCAATGATTTTGCTGATGCCAGGGAATTAACTCTAGAAGGAAAAACTTAACACGGAGACTATGTTATAAAATACAAATAAATCTTCTCCCGCGTTTTGTTTATTAATTTTATTTACTTTAGAAATGAAAATTAACATAAAATAGAAAAAAAAAACGGAGTTCTTCGTTTCGATGAATGTATACCACATACTAGGGTTATTTTTTTATATTTCATTTCATACCAATACTACTGAAGAGAAAAAAGTGAAGAACATCCCAATCGCAAGTGTATGCTCGAATTTATGATAAATTTCTTTTAATAGTTTTAAGCCCAAATACAAGAATAATTGTAAAAAATCAACAAATGAATACACTCACAAACTAACTATGATATTAGATTGTAATCGAATATTAACAAGAACAAATACTGTATATAACCTACAACCGCGTGAGAAAAAACGAAGTTTTGTAATTAATCTCAAAACAGCTGTGTAAACTTGAATTTAATTTAGCGAAAAGCAATTAAGGATTATACTTCTCTCACATAGAGCTCGAAAGATGCAATCGCATTACGTTGAAGTAAAAAGCGCCCAACTAATATGTAGTAATAACCCCCTAACAACCTCTTTTCATAATAAATGTGATAGAATCCCAGTTTAGTAGTTGATAAAATAACAAATAATTTAATTTAGTGTGTACATTATCATGATCCTAATAATGATCAAATTTTAGATTGAAGTAGTACTACTTATAATTAACATTATTCGAAAAAGTAGTTTAAAACTAAGTGCATCTTCAATGCAAGCAAAAATTCTTTTAGAGCGGAGCAATGTTGAAGAAAAAAAATCAATGATATTACTTATTATAACAAATAAGCATTAAAATATATATATACATACTTATATGCTAAGTAGTTACGCAAGTATTTAAAAAAGCAATTTCAGTTGGTTATCAATCGCCATGTGGAATCTTGTTTTTGGGACATTACATCTTCTAGACTGGTGTAAACTTAGTGACGTGATTCGATTACCTTTCCACTTATTCGAAATACGCTGGCGATTGATGATTCAATAATTCTGCTGATATATAGAACTAATTATATATTACTAGGAAAAATGAAAACCAAGACAAAGAAAACCTCCCGCCAGTATACTTATGTAATAATTCAAATGGTGTGATAACAAATTAATATCCGATCGGTATATAATTCACTTTCATTTCATCATCCTACGTCCTTTTCTAAGCTGTTAAGATTGATTACATTTTTATACTTTTTTACATTTCGAAAGGAATAAAAGAGATAGAAAATAGCAATGATGCAGTACTAGCAGGCATTGCTGCATGCAGAGTGTGTGCGATGACATCCAAGTAGCAAATATATGTATAGATATGTAACTAACCAATAAAAAAAAATTTCATCAGGGATATATAATGGCGGATCTTAATGAAAATGATAAAATCAATCCATTGAAATGTAACAAAAATAAATCAGGATTATGTAAATCTTTTGAAATTTGAGTTTAACACAAACACACGTTTGGTTTCGCATAAGTTGCAAACGGATCGAGATGAAAACCAAAATATCAAAATCAATTCAAAAGCTCAGCTTGGCTTTAGTTTCATAGATTATTGATAAACAAAGACAGCAGAATATAAATACATGTCTCAGACAAAGCCGCCCAAAGGCCTTCACAAAACACTAAAACCTAACAAAACACAGCAAAAGAAAGTAATCGAATACATCTAATATAAATCACGTAATTAAGAACGTATGTAGCTTATGAATATTCACCCCCGAATACATGAAATATACCATAAATAGTTAAATAGAACTGTTGGTTCTTATTCAATTCAACATTTGTAAGACCCCAAAACAAGCCAGTATCGGAAAAATATGAAGAAAAATAGCATTATGCAATATATACCAACATATATACATTATACATAAAATCCAGAGTCGGTGTCTATGTTATTAAAAATAGAAAATGTTGACATAATACTTTGAACATTATTAATTAAAAGGATTCTTTATACCACACGCGAGCCGTAAAATGGCTAAAAATTACAAACTCACAAAACAACCTAATTCACAATAACCATTTAAGAAAAAGCTCTCAGTGTCTCAGCATGCAAAATTGAAACCTCAAACACAATCTTACAATAGTAGAGTTGCTTAAAAATACACAGCTTGTCAGGAATTCTCTTCACCATCCAGCTAAAGATAAGTATATAACCTTTATGCATTCAGACAGCCATAGGAAAAATTCAAAAAAAAAATGTCCATGGTACGTTGTTACAGGTAGAGCATAGGAAAGGAGACCCCCAACCAATACTTTTGGATAGGAGATCGAAGTGAAAGGATATTTTCGTGTCTATTCTTTTATTAATAATAAAACCAATAGGCCATTGTTTGCTTAATCTCCCTCTAATAACATATCTAAAACATGATTTAATATATTGATTCAATTTTAGGCTATACACTAAACTTAATTTCCAATCAAATACTGTAAGTTTAAATAATTTGGTTAAGCCACTACATTTTTGGGTAAATAAATTATTAGGAATTCTGGTAAGACTGAAGGCAGATTATAGGATTATTTCTGGCTACAATTTTGTCTGAATGCTTTGGTCTTAAGTTAAGTAAAAACAAAAACAAGCCAACTAAAGATCAGTTAATAACTTCAACAACTAAAACAAAAACACCAATGCTCGTTTTATTAATTTTACTGAAAAAGAAATCTTTCCCAAAGGTTTCCTCTTATTTGCATATCAACAAAGAAAAACAGAACTCCTACATGCGTAGGGAAATCAAAACCATGTGATCAGAATATTTGTTGGAACAAAACAAAGTCAAGGTCCTCGGTAGGAACTTTATATTACCCTAGTATCGATATGGGTGTGCAATTAAATATAGTCTCAAAAAAATGATCAACTTTATTTTCCTTCTCTTTATATGTATGTGTGTGTGCGTAGTTTATAGTTTAAATAAGTATAGTAAATATACACATAATTCCAAAGATATGATGTAAGAATATTAGACATTATCTTATTATTTTAGCCAAAAGACTTATTTATTTCCAGCGACTTGTCAGCATGGTCATTCCTACAATATACTTCTCCAAGAGGGTGTTTGGAAATTAACCAGAAAAAAATGTAACGCTTGATTATCTTTTGTATAATTCTGTAATTAAAATTGCAATGCAACAGGTCTCGATAAAAAAACACAATACATTACATTAATTTAATACAAATAATAAAATTCTCTTCGTGCAATTGAAAGGCATTCAATATTGTTTTATTTCATTTGGAGGACAAACATGTAAGTAAACAGTTGAATCCTATATTTTAGAGAAATAATGCAAAAAACTAATGGATGTGGCCACTTGAAGTTCTTTCGTGCAGCTTAAAAATAACTCGTTTTTGTCTGATGTACCACAGCAACACCCTGCAAATCTTAAAACTATGATTTCAAAGCATACTCTTAGGAGCTAACATTTAATTCAAACATACGGGACAGCACACAGACCCTGATTTAATTTACGCGCCTAAAAGTATAATTTGAAAACCTACATTTGTCATATTTAACAACAGGGTGACTCACATAATTTAACAAAATAAAATTTCCATCCACCACCAGCGAATTCTGTTCGCCTGGCGCACATTGGAAATTGGCAAATTACAAAGGAGAAAACAGAAAATTCGTTTTTCTGGTGTCTGGGAGCACCTTTCGCAAAGAAATTGATTTATTTGGATGCAGTATTTTATTTTTTAGTAATTTACATATGTATTTTTAATTAAATCCCTTAAATGTGCTTTTAATTTAAAAATTTCATCTATATTTTTTTTTTCTAAAATTACACTACTAATTGAAACTAGAATAAAACAAATAAAAAAATCAACATAATTATTATCATTTTCTTGTAGTTTTATTTATTCTTCGATTTAACAATTTTAATATATAAAGAATGTAGTATAATTTATTAGTTAGGCCACAGCAATTCCTTGGAATGCGTTGATTCGGTACTGTATTTCATCTCTTCATCTTTTGTAAAAATCTGAAAGTAAATTAAAAGAAAATGACGATTAAAAAAATAGTTTTTTTTTTTGTTTTATTTCTAAACATTATTACTATTTATTGTTAAATGCAAATAAAAATTATGTTATTTATGTTGCTTCTAGATTATAGGAGAAAACCAATTTAGCATTTCTATTCAAAAAAAATGTGTCGACTATATTGGGCTCGTGTTGAATAATTTGATTCAAGGAGTACCACATCTATTAGTGCTTTACCAAAAAGTGGACCTGACCTGAATCAAAACTCAGAAGATATAGTTTCTTTACAGAAGACAAACCTAAACACTTTTCCGATCGCAATCACACGAATTAAGGTATTAGAATAGTACTTAAAATTGCCATATGACATTAACATTTTGAAGATGGGCTGGGCTATCTATATATATGAACATAAAACACGACAAACTATCACTTTAAAATGAATGAGCTTAGAATTGTTTTACTGGTTATAGCCTCCACCATTTGTAATTATTTGATATATTCTTGCTGCGTTTCTGATTTTAGAATGGGCAATGGACATCCTCGCAAAAATAATTCAATGTAAATCCATCTTTTGGAATGGATTCCTTTGGGGGATGTCGCACGCCCCAGTTATTGAACTACAATTGGTCTACAATTAAGGAGAACCATAAAACATGGGGGGGGGGAATATTGGGGGTTTTCCCAATACTGAAATGTAGATAGGACGAATTAAAGAGAGGATGGACAGTTTTGTTTTATTTATGCCCCATACAATTTAAAAAATATATATTTTTTAACATTAATGCGATTAAACCCGATTCGATTTGAAGTTGAATCGTTTATATTTTAGTGGTCTTTGATGGTAAACAGATATTTCTTTGACAGAAAACGTTTGCAACATACATAAAATTTTATCCGAATTAACGGCGACTAGTGACCAATCACAATGAATTTGGCTATGACAAATGGTTAAATTTATTGTGAATGAATTTATATTGTTAGCAATGCCTATACATATATTCGGTTCATATCTTGAATAACTATAAAAATGTATTTTAATGTAAAAAGGAGGGCCGGAAAGGGGTATATAAGTTTAACAGTAAACAAGTAAAAAGAAGTAAGTTCGGTCAGGCTGAACTTAGAATGCCCTCCACCATTTAGAAGAATGGGCTGTCATAGGCTGTAGCATTCATTACGAACATAAAATACCAAATTTGAAACAATTCCGGTGAATAATGTCGCTTAAACCAACAAAGTACCGAATATCGGGAGGTACCGTTTTATGGGGGCCATACCAAAACGTGGACCTACATGACCCATTTTCAATACCAAAAGTCCTGCAGACATAATATGCATTTGAGTAAATTTTTTTTCAATCTACTTCACAGACGGACGGAAATCGCTAAATCGACATAGACTTTTTTGCTGATCAACAACATATATACTTTGTGGGTTCTAAAACGTATATTTCGAGGTGTTACAAATGGAATGACAAAATTAATATACCCTCCATACTATGGTGGAGGGTTAAAAAACTCACAACTAAAAAGAAAACCTAGAATGCGGGCCAAGCTAAAATTGTACATTACATGTCATCAGATTTCAAGTGTTAATGCTATCCTAATATGATATTCCCCTTCCCTTGATGTTGTTCGAGCTGGGTGCACTGCTTAACTTCCTTTTTCTCAACATTTTCATTTTTTGAGAAATATGACACTAGCTTTTGCCTAAAATGTTATACTCGTGTTTCGAAAATCTTATGGTGAACCTGTCAACGCAAGGTAATTGGAAAATTCAGTTATCATGTGTCACAAACCGCAATGATAACGGACATTATTCAGTATTGGGTGGTGAGGGGGTTGGAAAAAACTCAATCTAGATTGGTAAGTTCTCACGAACATTATTTAAATTGGAATTTTATTTCCGAACCTGAGTTAAATTGCATGTTGACACTTTTTGGAAGAGGATTTTTGCTTACATTTCTTTGCTACGTAAAAAGGGCGAAACACGCAACTATAACTTATCACACACTGTCACTTGTCAGTGTCATAACAGAGATGGGGTGGGTTTGGCTAAACATTTTTACCCGAAAGCTTACTGGAATGGAACAACTTTTTGGCATCGTTAGACATACAATTATATGTTTGAGTACTAGAAATGATTATAGACATATCGATCAATTTATATTCTCTATCAAAAATCGGTAAAATGAAAATGCTTATCACTTCGGTAATGATCGAGACAAAGTAGTCACCACGTCCTACCCACATCAATAGTGTTGTCAACTTTAATTTATTTATTATTGTATTTTTAATAAATTTAATAATTGATTAATTTACCGATATTTGGTAACCCACTACTGGTTACTGACATCAAATTATCTATAAAATAGGTTAAAGTAATTTATTTCCGAACATAGTTAAATAATATCGTTGACCAATGACAAGTTGAACTTTTGTGGGGGGGGAGGTGCGAGAAGACTTGGCTCGATATTGCCCAATATATTATGATGAACTTACTTCGACCAATTCGAATAAATGCTTCTAGAGGAAATATTGTATTGGTCCGACAATAGACAAAATCTAGGATTGGGCTGGCATGTCTGGCGTATTTATCTTCTTTTTCCAACCAACTTCATCTCAACTCTGTTAATGTCTTCACAAGGAAATATATTTTTGCTCAAACAATTTCCAAGCTGGCGAATTCTTGTAGGAATTAACTGATTTTTATCTCGTTATATAAAAATAATGTGTTTCCTATTTTAATTAAAAACGATTATTTTCCATACCTTGCTTTGAGTTAATGTGGGTTTTGCAAGCTCCTCTTGGTCGAAAAAGCAACCTAAAATCTTTCTAAGGGGAGCAATATGCCAAGCACACATACCCACATATATAATCTCTATCAATGTATCTAGATCCATCGGCGCTCATGAATATTGCTAGTCAAACGTGCATTGAATATTTAGCAAAAGGGATGTAAACAAAAGACACAACAAAAGGGAATCATAAAAAGGAGCCCAAGAACAAAGAACAACAACAAACATATTTTTGCATATTTTTCGCATAAAGTTTTATGTTCAGAAGGTAAAAATGCAAACACACGTCAAAACAAAAACACCACCGTTATGTACACATATATACACATATATGTTTGGAGGACTTCATAATGCAGATCGTGCGCTAAGATACCAAATCATGTTGTCGTTTTGGTCCATACGCGGAAAAGTTAAGAAACATTTGCTGTGAGATGCTCACAAGTTTGAACCTCGCCGAAATTTGAAATAATTCCTCAACATTCAATTCAAACTGATGGGTTTTAAATTCTTAGAGTTATGGGGGTGTACGATAGCTTTCCAATTCAAAAAACTCGATATTGTTACGAACTCCAAAAATTATCGAACAATTTTCAGTAAAATTCAGCAAAAAACAAAAGCTTTATCGAAAAATGAAAACTTTGCGCTTTTACATTATTGAAAAATTGATGTTCATTATCTGAAAAGTTTATTACAATAAGTATATAGTAGAACAATGTCGGAATTTTATTTGGGATATTGTCGTTATTCGGTTGTTGCAAAATAAAAAAAAACTTAAAATTTAAAACATATTCACATCAGTCACAAAACATGTGAACTTTTATTAATTTTTTCACTCTCATCACTCACCAATTCATTTGTTCATAGGCAGTTCAAATCTCACGCAAAGGGTTTTGCCACTTTGCAAGACCGCTGGGGATAATTTTATTGTCAATGAAATTGTAACAAAATAATATCCTATTTTTAATATTTTGCTTCCTTCCCTTGTAATATTCCCGTTGTGATGAACCAATTTTTTGGCAAAGTTCATACTTGTTCCTGTAACGAAATGCAAATAAATGATGGTCGCCCAGCACATGCCCTCACTACCAGAATGTTTCCGAATATACTCGTATGTATGTATTTTTCATTCCTTTTTGTTCCGTTTGCCAATAAGGGTTCGAAATAAGAGAAGATGTGTGCTTAACAGTTATACAATTTCTCTTCGGTACAGCGATAGAGACAGGCGGAAACGAAACAGGACATGCTTCCAGAGGAACAAGTATCGGCACAAAGAGAATCCTGATATAGAAAACCGGTCGGTCATTGCTTTAGTTCCGTTTTGTGAACTGAGAGAACAGGTTGTTCGTTCGGAAAATCGGTCGGCGGAACTTTTACAATTCGCCACGTGTAGGAACGAACGAAGGATATCAACTTAAATACAAACAACAGAAAAAAAAAAACACAACAACAATACTAATCGTCCGGTATTTGTATCTGTGCCGTCTTTGTGAAACGTTTTCGAGAAGGAAATAATGAAGCAATAAATTTCGAAAAGTTGGCAGTGTCGACGGAGATGTAACACCAAATTACAACATTTAATCGAAAGCAAAGGAATGCGTTCAATTACAAAAATCGCCAACACGGTTTACGATAAATGTTTAAATGTGTAAAAGAAATGCTCAGGAAAAGGAAGCAGATTGTGAATATGAGCCTGTTGTCGCACGGACACCAGTCCGTTCTGGCTTCGTGCAGCCCTTTGTTTTATGAATGCTATCCGAAAGGGATCCACCAGGCCGTGTAAAAAGTGTCTGTCTAACGCGGTCATGGTATCTGATTGTGAATGTGTGTCAGTGTGTGTATGTGCGACGGTTTGTGGTGGAGTAAAATGTTGTTAACTGCCTCTTTAAATTAATGGCTTTTTAATAGCTCGTATTACAAAATTATCATTGTTGTTTTTGTTTGTTTGTCGATGTGCGACTTGTCTCCCCCTATTCGGAAAGGTAAAATACAATAAATTTATTACCAAAGTGCAATATCCGCCATTTTAAACGTCCACCCGAGCATACGGTCAATGGAATAGCCTCAAGTGATTTATAGGTTGGTTGTGTTCCATGGCCTAGCTACTTGCACGTATTTGCGGTGTCCATGCTGCTTGTTTGAGTTGCATTCAACAGTGAGTTTGTGGCTACGACATGATACACACATTATTAAGGATTACTAGTCTCG